ATCCTACATTGTCACTCACTGCCTATCCTAATTCAGATCCTCCGATTCACACCACCCCGTGATATTTTTCTCACTCCTTCTAGTGAATGGCCTGTTAGATACCCATACAAGGCACACCAACCCGCGTGGTTTTTCAGAAACCTATCCTACATCGCCACTGCATATTTCCTGACATCCCCATGCTGGCCATCCCGTGGTGTTTTTCTCCATCCTACATTGCCACTCACTGCCTATCTTAATTCAGACCCTCCGATTCACACCACCCATGATGTTTTTCTCACTCCTACTAGTGAACGGCCTTTTAGAAACCCTTAAAAGGCGCACTACTCCGCGTCGTTTTTCGAAAACCTGTCCTATACATCTGATAACCATGGATGCTTTGCTATACTCAAGATTTCCTGCTTTGAACAATCCCTGAAGCCCAGACAGTGAATCTCCAGTCTCCTTTCCAATGAAAAGAACTGCTTCCCCCAAGTGTTGGTCAGTGAGAGGGATAGAAGATCATCCATGGGAATCAGCACAGCCTCTAAAATAGGTCTTCAGCACAGCCTCTACAATAGCCAAGGCCACAGCTAAGTACTTACTGTGGAACCCCCATTTCATCCTCAGTGAACCCTGATGTCTTGATCCACTCAGCACACCACCATTCAGTATTGAAAACTGGGGTTGAGTGAGTCCCTTGTACATGACCAGGACCTGAATCCGCAGGTGGTCAAGTCTCTCTGGGCTGCTAAGGTAAGAACTCACCTCAGCTTTGGTGCCTCTGGGGCTGAGAATTCAGCCCTAGAAAAGTCCAGAGAGAAGTGGCTGGAGCTGGGCCAGCTGTCCAGGAAAGCTGGCTCCAGAGGCTTCCTCAGGCTGTGAGGCCCATCTGCCTGCACCAGGCTTGCCATACAGACCTCTGCCAGGTTCTCTGGTGACTGAGTTCCCATCTGTGGTGAGATAGTGGGGAGACATGGAATTGATGTCCTGCACATGGCATCTCGGGGGTTTGGGGCTGAAGAAAAGCCCACACTCTAAATGGTCCACAGGGCTTCATGGTACAAGGCTCACAGGAGGACCCCAACAGAAAGGGGAATTTCATATTGAAAGTTACCTTTCATGAGGGACACTTAGGAATACTAGCATGCTCAGTTCACCTTGATAGAGGAGAGGCTGAATAGAACTCTATGCATGAACAAAACTATGAGTAATAAGATGGTCCCCATTTTAGACATGAGAAAACAGAGGCTCATTCTGGATGTCCAAGTTCACTAATGAGGCCCACAGAATGCTCCTCAGGTTTCTGATGAAATGTCCCATGAAGGAATTAAGTTCCTCTTCCATAGCCATGGAAGGTGAGCAGCTGTGTTCACTGCTCTCTTGTTCTCATTTAGCCCAGAGGCTCCTGCAATAGGAACTGCGGTGCCTGAAAAAAATTCTGTAACACAAGTGCCAGATAAATCAACAGAGTGGACTGACGTTTGAGGTGAACACATCTCTGATGAGGTGATGATATGTAAGAGCTTGAGACAGGGTGAAAGACAGCCAGCTAATGGTCCATGGACACCAGGCCCAGGACTGACAATGAGGTGCAATGGTAGAATTCAATCATGACAATAAATGAAGTGACTTTGTTTCTATGTCCCTTTCTCCTGCTTCTACCAACATGTGGAGAGTGATCTTGTCTGTGACAAGGTAGAGACTGAGTAGAGAGGATATGGTAGCTGAGCACTGGGAGTCCAGCTTCCTTGGTAGCAGGACTATGGATCCAGTGTTTGACAAGCCCTGGAGCGATGTGCCCAAAGTTCCTCTCAGTCATCTGTGGGCCTCCTTACAGTCCCTTCTGCTCACACACCCTGCACCGGAGCCCATACCTATTGTAATTGTGGGTCCCAGTATCTGGAGCAGGGACATGGCACACAGGGCCCAGGAAAGAGCTCCAGGCCAATGGTCTGTGTGCAGCACTGTAGCAGCAGTGCCCAGCAGCCTGGAGGAAGCCTGAGGCTCTGAGACACCACAGGTTTTATGTTGTTAATCTAGATAATCTTATGTTCCTCAAAGACAGACAGCTCTGTCCCAGACTTCTACCCAGAACCATAGGAGATGTTTATGGAGGCTGTGGATAAACATGGGCACTGCCCTTTTCCTCCTGCCAGCCTTGTTCTGTGGGTAAGAACATGACAGTGACCCATGCTCAGAGATTCCCAGTACCTGCCCCTACCCAGGAGAATCTGCCCTCAGTGCCTCTCCTCAACCTCCCTCAGACTGATGACCTAGGCAGGAATTGTTTAGGGGGACTCACAGTGGTGGCCAGGCCTAAAGAGACATGTCTGGATTCAGTATATCTGAGTGGCTGGTGGCCAAGCCTAGGGACATCTGTCCTGGGGTCCCTCTTGTGTCTGGGCACCAGGGGCCTTGGGCCAGTGAGCCCTGCCCAGTGCTGACTTGTCTGTTGGGCAGTTCTCTGAGAGCATCCTGAAGCATCTGGGCCAAGTGAACCATCCTTTCACTTATTCCCAGGTGATTTTCTCATGTGGGGTCCGGCTGAGGCTTCTAGGCATGGGAAAGCAGCACAGCATATACACTGGTCACTCTATTGAGCTATGTGCCTGTGAAGGCTGTCGCCACACCAAGGTGCCTCGTGACCAGAGCCTTCAGAGTTCTGTTAAGGCCTGTTGCCAAAGAAATGAGGTCACAGGCTGGTGTCCATAGCTGGGCCTCCCCCTCTGATGACCCTTGTCTTTTTATTGTGGAACAAATCTGTATTCACCTTAGAAACAGCAAAGTGAAAAACTAGAAAACTGTGTGTGGTTTTACACTTTGAAGTTTTTAATGCAGCAAACATGTAGATGCTTCAGATGTGGCAGGCATTGTGCCAAGCACACATTTCCATCCAAAGTGTCCATTCTCTCTGAGTATGAGTTGTTCACTGTCTTCACTGACAGATCTGTCACATTTTCCGAGGACTTTCTTTTCTGGGCTTATGATAGTTTCATTTCAATTCCAATAGTGAGCATGGAGATGCTCCTAGAACACACATAATAATTTTTTTAAGGATGTGAATGTTTCATGTTATAACCCCTGTCTGTCCAGGGAAGGAGGATTCATAGCAAGTTTTACTCTCACGTGCCTATGAATGATTACTTACTCATCCTTAGATGTTTACCTCAACCACACACTGTAGTGCTCTGTACTCTGACATCCTGTGAGGGGAAACAGCAGGTGGTGAGTGCAAGGGGAGGCTTTGCCAGGCTGTGGACATCATCACTCCATGCTGATGAAGGACATATGTGTATCACTCCTGGCAAACTTGTCTCCTACCTACAGCTATCACTTCCTGTCCTCGCATCCCAAACAGACCATTGGCTTTGTGTCCCTGCTGGGTAGTTTGCCTTTCCTAGAGGTGATGGCACTGTGCCTGTTCAGTTGTGATGCTCTTTGGTTGGTCTCATGCAAGCAGTGTCTCAGTCCTGGACTCACCCTCTGATGCCACAAACCACTAATATGGGGCTGAACCAACCACGTGTGACTTCTTCGTGACCTGTCACCCATCTGCTGTTGGCCCTTTGTTCTATTCCATGGTCGGCACTTGAAATTCACCTGCCACAGCCATTTTTTAACACAGGTTTGAGTGGATACAGGCTTTTATTTTCAAGAAAAAGTACTTAAATATGAAATTACTGAATCATATTGCTGGTGTATGGCCAACTCAGAAATTCTTAAAGTGTCTTTGAAGCAGTTGTTTAAAGCCGAGTTAGGTGGTTGCTTTTTGTTTTGTTTTGTTTTCTTATGCTATACTATGCTATGCTATTTTATGTTACATTATGTTATTTTTTGGTGAGGATTTTGAAACACCCTCAGTGTATTTTCAGTGCTTTCTGATTTAATTTTGTATAATCAACTTGAGAAAATAAAAGAATATCACATAACTCTGTAGTTTTGTTTTGGAGAAAATTTAAAAAGGAAAACACAGTCAGGGTTGTTGGTGCACACCTGTCATTCCGGTACTCTGAAGGCAGATGGATTGTTGGGAATTTGAGGTCATCTTGGACTACAAGGGAAGATCAAGTCTAGCCTGAACTGCATAGCAGAACCCTATCTCAAAACAAAGCATAAAAGAAAGAAAAAAAGAAAGAAAGAATAAGAGAAAAAATTTTTAAATAAAATTTCAAAAATCGCCTATGAATTCAAAATATAAATATTTGTGAGGTTTCTTGCAAGTGTACTTCAGTCAGCACACCTAGCATAAGGTTTACCATCATGTAGAGATTGATCTACTTGCTTTGTTTCAATGTTTTTGAATGTTTTACTGAGATGACTACAGATACCCTACTGAATATACCCTCTAAGGATTTGGCTACCTCTGTAAGAACATCATGATCATTGTTTTTGTACTTTCCTAAATTTATATTTAGAACCAGAATTTGATGAAGGGATTTCTATTTTTTAAATAGTAATAAGGACCTTAAAAGGATACTCTTTTTAAGTCTATGGAAACATAAAAATGATTGTAGAATAGTAGTGGTTAATGTACCTTGCCCTATGATTTCTTAATGATCAATATTATCATACATTTGTAAAATATTTAGCTTTTTTACAAATTTTGACCCATGGTCTCACTAATTTCCTGAGTATTCCAGGCTAAGTTTAAACCCTTCATCATTCTTCCTCTCCCTCCCAGACAGCTGGGAATATACGTATACATACATTATCCTGAGTTGGTAATTGGCAGTAATTTTGTGTATTTGTGTAGTAAAAGTTTCAGCCTTGCTCTTTAGACACTTTGCAGAAAGAGTCAATCTAGTTAAGCTATCTGCCACCTTACTAACCTGTACTTTCTTTCAGTGAGTAGGACTGAAAATCACATTAACAATGGTTGTGGATTCTCTGCTTTTCCAACTGTGGTCAGCATGCGCTTCAGGAGATCACTTCAAATGACTTCTGCACTGGGACTGAGGCTTGGTGTCCTTGAAACACATTCTCTGTTTCTCTGGTCCCTCATGGAAATTAATGACTGACATCAAATTCCAAGGAAGGTGTGAAAGTTAAGGCTACTTGGGGCACACTGCCCTCCAGAAATCCAGGCCAGTGTAAAACATTTACCCTCCCATTCTACTTTCCAAGGTTTTGTTTTGGTTATGGTTTTGGTTTTTCATTCAGTTTCTAGAGATTGAGTACAGATCTTTTGCATTTAGCTCCATTACCTTCCACTTTTAAAAATCTTCCTTTTTTTTCAGGAGTTTCTCAATAAGTTGCTAAGTTGGTGGGTCTATCCTTGAATTTGTGATATTTCTGCCTCAGCCTTCCAGGCAGCTGGCATTACAAGCCACACACCAGACCTGGTCTCATTATAGTGTTGTTAAAAACTCATTTGATGAGCAAGGAATGGTGAAAATGCCTGCAATGTCAGAACTCAGGCCACTGAGGCAGCAGGATTCCTGGGATTTCCACACAAGACTGCAACACACTCTGAGTTCAGCTCAGGCCACAATGACACAGGGAGACCCTGACCAGAAAAAGAAAATAAACATGTGGGAACAGACAGGAAAGGAAAGAAGAAATAAAACAAAATTCCTGGTGACTATGAATTGGTTTGTCTCTGGGCTATGCATTTTAATCTGCCGTCCTGTTCTTGCAGTATAAGATCCTTTGACTGCCTTCAATTTACAATATACCTGGAAACCAGGTATTTTGATGCCTTTCCTTTTAATGTTCTTTCCTAGGCTGTAGGATGACTCTTTGTAATTCCTTGTGAATTTTCATTTTTTTTTCTAGGAAAGTATTAGTGATACTTTGACATGAATGGCACTGAAACAGCTGGTTGCTCTGGGTATCCTGAACATTGTAACAACATGAATTCTTCCCATCCACCATCACAGTGTGTCTTTTCTTCTGTTAGTGCCATTTCACTCATTGCATCAGTTTCTACAGTTTTTAAAGAAAAGGTGAGTTTGGTTAATTTTTTCCTAAGCATTAACTCTTTTTGATGAATTATGCAATAAATTGTGTTCTATGTATTTGAGGCTAGAGTTTGTATGAAGTGCATAAAAATGAATTGATTAGGACATGTGGATCTTGTATCTCGGAATTTAAGTGATTTATAAATTTAACCCTAAAAGGTTTTCAGTGGAGTTTTAAGTTTCTTATATGCAAGGTTGTGTCCTCAGGAAACAGAGCCAACTCTTAATTCTTACTTTCTGATTTGAAAGGCATTGCTTTGTTATTCTTAACTAAATTCTAGGGTTAGGACTTCAAATATTATGTTGAAAAGATTTGCAAGTCTTGTCTTGTTCCTGATCTGAGTAGAAAATCTTGCAGTTTGTCTGCCTCTGAGCACCATGTCAGGGATGGACTTCTCATAATAAAGATCATCATACCTGCATAGCCTATGCTGCACTGAGGCCCATTCTTCCTACACATGGTGTGTGTGAGTAGTTCTTCCCATGACAGAATGTTCAACTTTGGAATTTTTGAAAGCTATTTTTCCAAGTCTATTGAGGGGTTAGCTGTGCCCCATTCTGTGAAAGAGACAAGTGACACTGAATGGTTTTTGCAGTGGAACCATTCCTGCAGCACTGGGATTGATATTGGTGTTGATTGTGGTGCTTCACTTTTCCATGTTCTGGTAAATTTCCTGGAAGAATCCAAAAATGATTACTACTTATTCTTTATTACACATTTGAAAAATTTTTGAGGGACATTTATCTTAGCCTGGCTTTTGTTGTTGGTATTAATCAGTTTTGATTGTTGATCCATTGCCTATGTTATTTTTTCCTCTGTTCATCAGTGTGTTTGCTCCTGATGTGTGTGGGTCAGTGACTCCAGTGGAGACCACATTCCCATTAAGGTCACGTGTCATTTTACTTAGGGATGCCGCCATTTATTTTGTATTTTCAAGCTCTCCCTGTAGTATGTATTTTTGTCAGTCACTCCTTTCATTTACTTAGTCTTTTAATGCAAACTGTTCTCCTCGGGTGGCTATTGCTGGGGGAAACTGGAGCTGGTCAGGTGCCCGTATCTTATTTCAGGCCTCATACCCTAGCCTGCCTGCAGTGTCCCCATCTCCTGACCTGCTCACTGTAAATACCTGTCCCACTTCACAGCTATGATGAGTCCACATGCAGCAGTTCAGATCTGGCTTGGGTGGAAGACATTCAGCCAATGTGGGCTCTGTAACAGGCTGACCTTTTCATAGAGATCTCACCTGTGTGAGACAGGGGGCCTGAGGTCTGCAGGGAGGAGCTCTGGCAGCAGGGTCTTTCCTGCCCTCTTCTGTCCAGTGTGCAGTGTGTGCTTCTTTGCTGAGATGCTGACTTGTGGATCAAGAAGCCCAGAACTGGACCTTTCTTGCCTCTGGTGCAGCGGTGTCCTGTACCTCTGCCTGGTCCATTTTCTCCTGACATCAGATCTCCACAGAGATCTGAGCACCCCTAGACTTCCTCTTCCAGACTCCGACTCAAAGTGGAGACTTCAGGTATGAAATATTTGATTATGAAATTCAACCTGTATACATTTAACCTAGAAATTCCACTGCTAAGTCTTCATTATAAAAAATGAGATTGGCAGTCACATGTATTCTCTTCTTACTCATAGTGTGAAAAGTTAGAAACCATGAATTTACCACAACAAAGCTGCCAAGTGAATTACAAACTAACAGGCACTGAAAATGCTGAAAGAAAGCCATGTCCTAGGCCATGGCCCTGGTCTTCCCTGATATGACAGAGAGCTTGTGGCCTGGCCCTCTCTCCACTCAGCAGTGAAGAGACACAGGCACACATGGCAGGCAAGGACTGGAGAGAGGAGCTAGTGGAGGGCAGACCATTATCCTGGGAGGGAAGCCTTTGTGGTTTTTCCATTTTCCATTTCCACTGCATTATTGACAGTGCTCCACTCAATATTTCTTCTCTTATGCTCAACTTAGTTAAGAATAAGTAGTGTTTAATTTCTTGAACAGATGAGTGAGAATGGAAGATTTAATTTTCATTTATATATAATGAAGGATATGCACAGTACAGAAACTTCAAACATAAGAATAAGGATTCTTGGTATTCAGAAAATCAACACATTGTTTATGACTAATTTTTAAAACCATAACACATGAGATCATGCAGAGCCCCTCCATGGTGGGGAGGTGCTGCCCTCCCCACCCTAGAAGCTACCATGTTCACCTGTGCCAGTGACTCTCAGAGGACAGCAAGAGTTTTTCTTCAGAGTCTCTTTTTCCAGCGAGGAGGAATTGAATTTTCCTGCTGCCCAGAGGCGCAGGGAGTGTGCAACATGCAGAAGAGCCCAGCACTGCCTGCCTTACAGCCTTTCCCCCACTGCATCCATGCTGCAGCCCTGCAGGCATGGGAGGGAAGAACCCCCAGGATGGAGGAAAGACTCTCCCCCCTCAGCCGTAGGGGCCTCAGTGACTGGGTCCCGGCCTCTGCTTCCACCAGGTGCCTGATACTGCCCTGGTTGGTGCTCTCATAGTGGATCTAACACACCCTCAGCCTCCTAGGCCAAGTGCATTTCCCACAGTGACCCTTCCAGTCTGCAAATTTTGCTCCTCTCCTTTCTGACTGTGGCTGGAGCATTAGAACAAAACACAGCATTAGCATTACCTTTTCTCTTTCTTTCTTTCTTGTTTTTTTTTTTTTTTGTTGTTGTTGTTGTTTTTTGGTTTCTTAAATTATTTAAGCATATATTTAAAACTGCATTTTGCCAAAAAGCTTTTCTTCAGTTTTTACTCCTCAGTTGTCTGGGGTTTTACATATTTGCACTGCAGTTCAAACCCTAGATGTTTGGATGCTCAGAATCCACTCTGCAGCTTGGTAGAATGAGGGAAGCAAAGCAGAACTTGAACTTGGGGACATTTCTGTCCCTTGTAGCATCTTGTAGAGCAAACCCTACCTAATGTCTTTTTACCCCCGAACTATAGGCTTCAGTAGCAACTGAATCTTCCACTGACAAAATGTGTGCCCTACATTTTTCCAAATAATGTCATTTCCTCTCAAATGGCTATGCAAATAGTATAAGGTTTCTTATGCCCAAACTTGAAAAATAATTTCCAGTAGAGAAGAGGCTGCCACCCCTCCTGAAATCATGATGGGATATTATGTAAATGCATATTCTGATCCACACCCTGGCAGCCATAAGCTGAGAGAGGTGGAGATGGCTTGTGCAGATAGGAATCACCTTGAAATTGTCAAGCAGCAGCAGCAGCAGCAAAAAGCAGGGGCCAGAGCTGATGAGACCTCACAGTAGGGTGATGAAATCTTGTGGTGGGTTTGCCCTGGGTTTACTGAGGCAGCTCAGTAACTCTAGGTTACTGCCAGGGTCCATCTTCCTGCAGTGCAATACAAAGGGGAAGTCATGTGCATGCAGCATTAACTGGGAGATTTTCTTTTGCAGTTAAGAAACTGTATGCATGAGATGTCCCCTCTGCCATAGGAGACCCCTCCCCGGAGTATTATTTCCATGTCTCCTAAAGGGTCAGTTTATTTACACAACATGCAGAGTGCTGTTCTGAGCCTTGCCTGCACCTCTGGGACCTGGGGCCAGGGCAGGGTTCCCTCCAGCAGCCAGGCACATCATGCTCCACACAGCTCTCCTATGTCCACCTCACTTGTGGTCCATGTCTTGTGGGAGGGGTCCCCCCCAGACACTTCACTGTAGTGCTACTGAGGACTGCAGACATGCCCAGAGCCATCGGAGCCTGTGACACAATCTTCAATTCCTCTTCATTGGGGGATGAGAGAAATTGAATCTCTCCTTCTGTCAACTCTATTTCTGCACTTAAGGATTTTTACTGAGGGGAATCAACAGCAAGTATGTTGATATCTGTGAAGCAGCTCAGTGGTGTATGACTTCCCGCCTTTCCCACAGAACAAGCCAATGTACAAACAGCTTATATGTAAATATCTTTTAAAAATGTAATGTGGTTCTATTGTATGTGTCTTTCATGGCTCCTTTTTCAGAAACTCTTCTCACCTGATAGTTGTGTTGTTTTCTTGTTTTTTGTTTTTTGTTTTTTGTTTTTTTTAACTGAGGAAGAAAAACAAAGACTGAGTGGCCCTGGTCCGGATACTGTGACCTCTCCTACAGCTGAGTCCTGGTCCTCTTCCAACCCATCCTTGTACTCTGTGCTGTCTCCACGCCCTCCCCCCACACCCTGGGAAGAAAGGGCACCTCTGTTTGCTTTAAGTGAGGCTTCTCAGGTGACATTTCTTCAACTAAGGAAACACCTCTTTTCCACCTTTATATGGACCTTCTGCCCCTTTTTCTGTCTTGTGAGGCTGCTAATGACAAGTCCAAGGAGGACTCTGTACTGGAGAACTATGTTTGTGTCATTAATATATGCTTTTATAAATGCCAGATTTAGAAAAAGAAAAAAGAAATTTTGGTTACATTTATCTGTTTCACAGGTTCCTGATAGATTCCTGTGCTACTTCCCCTCACAAAGATGACATTGTCCAATAAGGACTTTGAGAGTAAAACCAAGAAAATCATTCACATTTCTGGCCTCTGTAGCTCTGCTTCACTAAGTGATGGGCAAATCTCCCAGACTCTGCCTTGCTCTGCCTCTGTCACTCTGTCTGTCTCATGCACATCTCTGTGTATACACACATTGATGTCAGAGATACTACATTGTAAAACCTGAGACCATCCACACACACACATCCATCTTGCATCCATGTGTTATTTCATAATGAGATTCCTTGACCTCTTTCCCTGTGAGCCCAGAGAGACTGAGCTCAGCATCCCTGTAGCTTTCCCTGGTTCCCATGGCCCACACTGATGGCCTGCACCCTCTACATGGAGGGTAGAAAGGGTCCCAGTATCTTGCTGCTTCTAACAGTGCTGTGAACAAGTCTTGAAAAGAAAACTTAAAAGGTAGTGCATCTTTTTCTTTATTTTTTGTGTTGTGAAGCTCTCTGTGTGGGAGAAACTTCTATGCTTAGCTCTGTGAGGTTCATGGACCCTGTTAGAGCTGTGATGGGAGGTGGGGACAGGGGCTCTGCTCTGCCCCCAGTGTTCTCCACAGTGCTGTTCAGCACCTGCTTTAAAACCTGCCACTGGATGGGGACACAGCACATCACAGTGACCCATACTTGAATGTATCTGTAGTGGGATACTGTACATTCTATACACTTGCTGGCAATATGAGCTGATTCCCTCTTGAACTGCAAGAGTTTGTCTCTTATCTCACAAAACAAATGAAAAGGCAATTCCAACCTCAAAGATTAATGTGTTTAATTTTTAATTATAAACTGTAGTCTATCTGGGATTGTCCCCTTTATCAAAGAGAAATATCAGTTAGTCTCTTCCAGTACTGCTTGACCAGACAGAGTTGTGTTGAAGTGATGTAAAAACTTGGAGTAGTAAATCACAGAGGCAGAAAGATCAGTGGTGGCTGGGACTGGCAGGGAAGAGAGAGAATGGTGTCCAAATGGGAATGAAGTTTTGGGAAATGTTCTGGAACTATACAGAAATGAAGGTGGTGCACACTGAGAATGTGTACATGCCACTGCACTGAGGATGTTGATTAAAACAAATGAAATCATATCCTTTATTTAAAATTAATTTATGCCATAATATATAAAAGGATTATAGAGGTAAAGGCATGAAAATGGAAAAAAATCATGGAGGAGATGGGAAAGTCAGGTTTTCATCAAGAGCTGGCCTCAGGGTGAGGTTGAGGAGCTGCCAGCTGCTGACGGGCCCTGATAGCCTCAGCATTGGAGCTGACAGAGATCAGCTTCCTCTTGCTGGCTCTTCCTGTGGTCCCAGAGTTGGTGAGGGTACTGTAGTTGTGTCAGGCAGAAAGTCTGCACCTGGTCCTTGAGCTTGGTGCCCAGCCCACCATTCAACAGCAAGAGGAGAAAAGATCATCAGTTGCCCACATTCCTTGCACAGCCATCAGACTTCCAGTGACTGTCAGAGACAGCTCTGTGCACAAATCCACTACTAGGCAGTCTTCCCACACTGCATCTACCCACTGACTTCTGTGTCTCAGGGCTTCAAGGTGGTCCCTTAGCCTTGTCCCTTCTCATTTGTTCACAGGCCTGTACCCAGTCCTCCTCACTGTTGTTCTCTGCCTCACTGGGCTCACAGTGCTCCAGTTCAGGCAGGAGAAGTAACTTTGGAAGATCCATGTTGGTTTGCAGCTGCTGCTTGGAGCCAAGAATCAGGCCTAAGGTCCTGGGGGTGCAAGGTGTGGGCAGCTGAGTGTGAGCTGGGTGTTCCCACCCTAACTACTCTCCCAAGGCACCCTGCTGAGTTGGATACCTGGCTGCTGCTCCAGCTGTGGAGAGCCCAGTTCCACCCTATCTCCACCACTAGTGGAGCAGTGCTGCCCCAGACAGCTCTGGGGGACTGACAGATGACTCCATGGGAGAGCCTGTGAACAGTGTTGTGACCCCCTCTCTGTTCTTCAGGAAAGCTGTACACACATCTGTCTAGTGCTCCCCAGTGGTATGTTGCCTTCACAAGGGGATGGAAAAGTGTCTACTATGGTACTGGGATTGTGCTTCATACATATGTGAGAAGTGAGGGAACAGAAGGGATGGGTAGTGTTCCACCTTTCCTCAGCTGTTAGATTGCACAGAGACTTGCCACCCAGTACTCTGTGCTTCCTCTTGAGTCCCCTTCCACTGATGTGTTTCCATATCTAGGGAAGCCCAGAGGAAATCTCATGTACCATAAATTTAGTAGTATATGATCTGCCATCCAGGGTGACTGTGTTGCTCCCACTAGTGTGGAAGGTCAAGAGGGCAGTAGCTACATCTTTGTTGGTCATTGGATCATGGTCAGTGCCTGGCAAAGTGTCTGTTCACAGTGTAGCTCTATGTATATTCATGTACTCATGGCACCTACTGGTTCTGGTGATGTCATCTGAATGGGCCTGGGGCCTCTGCAAGGCCCAAGAGAATCTGGCTATGAATAATACATCCTAAACTCCATAGAGCATCCTAGGAATCAGATTTTGCATAATGGCAAGTTCATGTTCAAATTTAACAATTTAATCATCAGTGAAAATCTCTTAAAGTAAATAAAAAAGCTAGAGATTTTGTGTTAATACCTGTGGTTCATTCTTACAATGGAAAAGAAAAACGTGTAGTGTATAATCAGTCAAATCACAAGAATTATTGCTTTGTCCTCCAGAAACTAATGTGGGTGTGAAAGAAACAGACACACACCACGATGTTCAGATGCATGAAAAACACCACAGTGGAGGGAAACCCTGGGTATCCAAACAATATGGGAAAGCTTTAACCACACATAGAAATAGTAAGGAACATGAAAGAATTCACACTGGAGAGACCTCATGTATGTAAGCAATGTGGGAAAGCTTTTACAACCAGTGGACATTGTAAGCAACATGAAACAATTCACACTGGAGAGAAACCTTATGTATGTAAGCAATAAGCAAAAGCTTTTATCAAATGTGGACATCGTAAACAAGATGAAAGAACACTTGAGAAAAACCCTATATATGTAAGCAATGTGGGAAAGCTGTTACCTCACCTAGAGATTTTAAAAGTCATGAAAGAATTCACACTTGAGAAAAACTCTATATATGAAAGCAATGTGGGAAAGCTTTTACCTCACCTGGAGATTTTAAAAATCATGAATTCACACTGGTGAAAACCGTATGTATGTAAGCATTGTGGGAAAGCTTTTACCAACATGGACATTGTAAGCAACATGAAAGAATTCACACTGGAGAGAAACCCTATTTATGTCAGCAATGTGGGAAAGCTTTTACCCAATGTGGACTTTGTAAGCAGCATGAAAGTTCACACTTGATAGAAACCCGATATATGTGAGCACAGTGAGAAAGCTTTCAGTACAACTACATATTGTGTACTGCATGAAAATCTTCACACTGGCCAGAAACCATATATATGTAAGGAATACTGGAAAGCTTTCAGCAAAATGCTCATTGTCAAAACACATGAAAATATACCCTCTGGGGAGAAACTACATACATAAAGAATGTGGGAAAGCTTTCACCTCACATGGATATTGTAAAACACATCAACAACTTCACACTGGCGACAATACCTATGTATGTAAACAATGTGGGAGAGCTTTTACCACATATAGTCATTGGAGAACGCATGAAAGAATTCACACTGGTTGCTGGGGGTTTAGCTCAGCGGCATAAGTGCCTGCCTTGCAAGCAGGCAGTCGTGAGTTTGATCCCCGGTACCAATAAAAAGAAAAAAGACCAAAAAAAAAAAAAAGAATTCACACTGGGAAGAAACACTGGCTATGTAAGCAATGTGGGGATGCTTTCAGGAGCCAGAGTGAATGTGAAAATCAGGAGGAAACCCACACTGGGAATTCATTGTATACATTATGGGAATACTCTCAGCAAACATGATAATAGTTACATATCTGAAAGAGCTCACTGGGCAGAAATCCTATGTGGACTAGCAATGTGAGAAATATGTCAGTCAACACACTTTGTTAAATACATAGAAAAAGCCTCACTGATCTGAATTTTTAGATCTAAGTTTAGTTTTAAAATCCCAAGGAGTCCTGAAGAAATAATTAATACAAAAGTTTGATGTCCACATTTCTTCACAAATTTTCCAGAAATGACAAACCTGAGGTGGAGCTCTCCTCAAGTACATGTTATGTGATTTTTAGTTAATCACTTGTACTTATCTAGATTTTTTAAAGTGCATTTGTGCTTAAACATAGTGTCCTTTAATTAAACATGGTAAACTGAAATGTACTTTTTCTGTTCAAATATGCATAGTGTCTATGTACTTAATGTTTTGTCTTTAAAACTTAATTTTTGTATTTTTTGGTAAATTGTAATATTGATGCTGCATTTGTTGTAATCTTTTGCTTCATTTTCTGTGGCATAAATGATATTTCTGAAATTGATGCTATATTTGACATTAAGATATAAATTTAAAGAGGCTTGGAGCATATGTTTTTGACAAAGTTGTGTTCTTTTCACATGACTTGTACATTAATGAATGTTATGTTTTTCATGCTGTGACAAGATACTTGCTTATATCCTAACATCACTGGATTTATACCATGTACATTATGTTGCCTGTTTCTCTTTTTCCCTGGAGCAAATGTTGTCCTTTATGTAAATCTTTGTTTTTCTAACCATTAGAATATTACCTGTTATATTTATATTGCATCTTTTGTATTATTAAGTTTTCTACCACATTTACCAAAAGTAAACCATACTGCTGTGAATTTCTAATTGCCCCACACTGACAGAACCATAACTTGTCTCCAAAAGCATATAACAAATTATATTAATGTCTCCAGAAAGTACAAAATGTGGTATGATTTGTCAGTAACCACACTTTGAAAGGAATTTTTTAACTGTGGACTTGTTTTGGGGAAAAAGGTTGCTATTGAATGTATCATGCAAATGCCTTTATTTTACTCTTTGGTGTTGTGAACCTATTATCTATTTTGTAATTATTACTGATATTTCCTAAAGCACTGAAGTAATGGCATGAAGGGAAATCTAAATTTTGAGCTGTCAGCACAGTGAAAAATAAATTTGCTAAATTATAATTCAGATTGCGTTCTGTTTTTTACTGAATTGTGAATTTATACAATTGCATGTCTCATTATTTATAAGGACAACTGCTTGATGTTTGTGGTTTGTGCTGATCATATTTAAACACATACAATGGGCCATGAGTCCCAGTTGGTATTCTGTGAACTGTGGTTTTCACTTCCATTTTATCAGTCATGTAATTTGTAAAGTGTTTAATTCAGTGTTGTTGAATATAAAATCTACTTAGGTTCCATTGGAATTATGCTGTTAAAAACTGGTGTCATGGAAACACAAGTGAGCACTGCATTAAATACCCCTAATCCAATGAAGATAGCTTGCCCTAATATCAGTTATGCTTGGACACATAAATTACTCTCTTGTTGTATAATCACCACTAAAACTATGTTTGTTTTATATCTGAAGTCTCTGACATGCTTTATGAAGTAAAAGAAATGTAAAATACATCATTAGCCTCTATGCACTACAGCATATGGCCAGATTCCCTGCAGCACATTTCTGCTTACCATCACCAGGAAGATGTGGAGTATGTATTTCTAGTAATAGAATATTGAATCTATAAGACATATATCCTGAGTACATTCACTTTCTCATTTTACCATGAAAATAAATCTTGGAGGTCCTGTTGATTCATGCTTGTAATCCTAGCAACTCAGGTGGCTTAAATTAGTGGAAAAGAAATTTGAGTCCAGGCTACACAATTTAGTATGACCTGTCTCAAACTATATCTTCAAGTTCTGCAGATGTGGTCTAGTGCTTTAGTATTCGCCCCATGTCAACATTATTTTGATACTCACAGTTATACATCAGTTGTCCTTTTATCACTGGGCCACCTAGCAGTTATCCCCAAGCATCACATGGGAAGCAAATTTGTTTATGCACTGACTATGCTGAGCATCATTGGGGCAGTTGTAATTTTAATTCATTGATTCCTGTATTAAATATATTACTACTGTCACTTTTATATTTCTTGTTATTTTATAAAAACTAAAAAAAATTATGCAACTTTTGATCATCTTGTATTTAAATAATTGCACTGTTAAGGAGTTATGTATAAAGATCTAGGTTAAATGTGATTCATTTAGTCCCAGCATCAGTAGATGATAAGAGAAGGTAATAGCTTAGAAGCTGACTTTGGGTGGCAACTTTGTTAGAAGATTTAGCAGAGTGCATAGCAGTTGTTTTTATACCTGCAACTGAGGTTTAAGGAAACAAGTAAGTGGAGGTCAAGAATATAAATTTAGGGATAGGATAAAAGAATCACAACTGCAAATCATGATTTTTCTTTCACTTAGGAAATGTACTTTTTATGGTAATCTGTGCAGCAGTCTCAAATATGCCTCTATTAGAGTAAAATATAGTAAACATGAATGAGCCATGCATTCCATGTTCTGAATGTAGAGGCATTAAAAAGAAACTTTTTTAACTTAATGCTATTGCGGGTGTTTTGTATTGAAAATAAGATAGGGTGAAAAAACAATCAAAAAGGATTATACAAGATTTCATAGTCCTGCACAAACATAGAAGCCAAAAAAAAAAAAAATGAAAGAAAGAAATCAAATAAAAAAGGATGAAGAAATAATCTACAGAATGAGAGAAGTTTTGCATGTTACTCCCTGACAGCTAGCATGTAAAGTCAATAGGAACATGAAATGAATACACACTTTTTAGAGTAGATATAAATTGCCAAGAAATACCTGAAGAACTATTACGTGTTTTTGCACAAAGGAGAAATGCAAATAGGGACACCTTCATTGCAGAGAGAGCAAATCACCACAAGATCAAAAGAATGATCATGAGACCACAGGAGAAAAGGAACTATTTAACCTTGTCGGTAGAAATGTAAATAAGTAGTTCAATCATTACTGATGTCAGTGTTCAAAGTATTCAAATACTGAAGGTAGTAAGTCCAATCAGTGCAGTTTCCTTTAGTGCATCTCTTCCCCAAAGAGATAAGGACATATTGCAGTGATGCATGCAGATTCCTTTTTACTGCAGCAACAGTCACTTTTTCTATAGAGAACAGCAGTCCTCAGAGGAAAATTTATTACACTGACTTCCCACATCAGGAAAACAGAATGAATACAAATAAACAGCTTGATGCTACACCTCAAATATCTACAAATACAAGAGCAAGTGAAGCCCAAAGCCAAAAGAAGGGAGAACATTATAAAAATCAGAGAACAAATCAATGCAGTAAGAACTAAGAACACAATCCAAAGAATCAATGAATCAAAGAGTTTGTTTTGTGAAAGAATAAATAAAATTGATAAGCACCTAGCCTGCTACATTATTTAAAAATGGGAAGAAAAGGCTCAAATTCATGCAATATGGAATGAAAAAGACAAAATCACTACAGACTCTTGGGAAATACAGAAGATCATCAACACCTATTTTAAAATTTCTACTCACATTTGTTTAATAACACAAAAGAAATGGACAGATCCTAGAAACATATGAAGTACCAAACCTGGATCAAGAAGATATAAAACTGATGAATAACCCAATTTCTATTAATGAAATTGAAAATATAATAATATAATTCTCCTTATGTACAAAGAGGAGCCTAGGCCCAGACAGATTCACTGTGGAATTCTACAAGAAATACAAAGAACCTTAATGCCAGCACTCCTCACATACTTCAATGAAATCAAAAGGAAAGCAACTCTTCCTTAATCATTCCTGGAAGCAAATATTATTCTATTACCAAAATCCGAGAAAGACCCAACTAAAAAGGCCAATCTCCCTATATGAACACAGAAGCAAAAACCCTTAATAAAATATTGGCAAACAGCATGCAGAAAATCATCAAGGTTATACACCACAACCAAGTGCGATTCATCCTAAGCATGCAGGGATAGTTCATCATATGTAAATCAATCAATGTAATCCACCATATCAATAAAACCAAAAGTAAGAATCACATGAGCATTTCTATAAATACAGAAAAAGCTTTTCATAAGGTGCAACTTCCATTCATGATAAGAACCTTACAGAAAATTGGAATAGATGATCTTTACCTCAGTATGATAAAGGCCATCTATGACAAACCAACAGCCAGCACCATATTAAGGGGCCAAAAACTGAAGGCTTAAAATAAGCACAAGACAAGGATGTCCCCCATCACCATTCATATTCAACTTAGTACTGGAAATACTAGTCAGAGCAATTAGATAAGAGATAGAAAAAAAAGGGGTACAGATAGGAAAGAGGAAATTAAATTATTATTATTTGCAGATGACATGATACTCTACATAGAAGACCCCAAAACTACACTGGACGTCTCCTAGATATAATAAATATATTCATCAATTTAGCTGTATACAAAGTAATATTCAAAAAGTCAATAGCATTCCTATACACTAGAAACAAAATCATTGAGAGAGCAGTAAAGAAGTCACACCCTTCACACTACCATCCAAAAAAAAAAAAAATGAATTACTTTGGAATTGATCTCATGAAGAAGTAAAAACATATGTGTGTGTGTGTGTGTGTGTGTGTGTGTGTGTGTGTGTGAGGAAAATTATAATATCCTGAAAAAGAAATCAAAGATGATCACAAAAAATGGAAAGATATCCCTTGTACATGGATAGGAAGACTAAATATTGTGAAAATGGACTTTCTCTCAAAACTGTTACACAGATTCGCTGTGATCCCAATGAACATAACATCAACATAGCTCTTAGATTTATAGAAATCACTCCTAAAATTAATCTGGAACCAAAAGAGACCTAGAATAGCAAAAATAATTCTAACAGCAAAGAAAACATAGGAGACATCACAATCCCTGAGTCAAAGTTATTTTACAAAACAATTATAATAAAATCAACATGTTATTGGAATAAAAACAATTATAAAGATCAATGGAATAAGAAGATACAACAACAACTACAAACACAACTTACGTTTGATATAGGGATCAAACATGTACCCTGGAAGAACGACACTCTTCAATAAATTGTGCTTGAAAAACTGGGTCTTCATAGGCTGAAAACTAAAACTAGACCCATGGCTATCACCAAGTACTTGAATACATAGGAGTAGG